AGATGTGGTGTGAAGGTTGCTGGTTCCTCCTCATGCTGTCCTTCTTCCCAGAGGCAGCCATGCTGCCACCAGGCAGGTCACAGTTTCCTGCTTCATTGTCATGTCCTTGGTCTCCACAGGCATGGACCTGCTCTCATGTTGAAGAGCTTGGTTTTCCAGCTGCAGTTTTATGCTCTTCCTGTTAAAATTGAAGCAAAGGGTGAATACCTCTTGTTACTGACCATAGTCACAGAGGAATTCAGAACCGATGAGGCTGTGGCCACTAGCACTCACAGAGGGGACACGTACTCCTCGCCCACCATGAACCTCTATAACCACTCTCTTCTCTGCTTTTTTTGAAGAATTTTACTGCAATATCCCCATATTCTCAAGGCAGGCTTTCAATGATCAGAATGCTGGCCAATGTCCCTAGACAGACTGACAGAAAAGGCTGTGGATTGCATTTCAGCCCATGGGAATGAATGCCTGTGCAAAGCTTTGCTTAGAAGTGACTGCTTTTCCTTGGTGTTTCTGGAAGGTGTGCCCCAACCTAGCTGAAAAAGTGCATAAATTACTCCAGGTTTTGAGTTTTCCCTCCTTTACAGACTACATAAATCATATTGCATTAGCTTTGCTGCAGGGGAACAATTTCCCTTCACTTTCTGTCTTGCAAATTGGAGGATCTTTTCTCCTGGGTGCTACCTGAGGGACTTGCCTCTTGCTTTTGTCAATCGAAGTCTTTTTGGACTCTATTCATTTCACCATTCACACACTTTTGCCTTCCCCCCACAAGTGCAGGCTTGGATATGGCCACAGAGACGGACACTTAGGGAGGTTCAATGTATCCTCCTCTTCCAGAGGCCTCTCACAACATTTCTGGTGCCACTCTGGCTTCTGACACCTGCTGGACACAGACTTCTTGCCCCCTGGGTTCTCTGCATGAAGCCACTCTCCCTAAGCCTGGGTACTGGGTTTGTCACAGAGGACCACTTCCTCCACCAGGGGCTCCCTGTCTCCAGGCTCACCTGCTCTGTGGCTATCTCCCCTTGACTCCTTACAGTGGTGAGATTGTGGGCAAGAGCAGGGAACTTGGGGGTGGAGTGGAGCGTCATGTGCACCGGTGTTGAGGAGTATATATAGATGCAAACAGCTGGAGTTCTGCCTCAGCCTGGCTCTTTCTGAGACCCTGGAGCTGTACTGCTCAATCCAGTGGTCCCAACACAATGACCACCGAGCCACATTTCTGTAAATGCTGACATGTGGCCAATGTGAATGTATTTAAGTTGTTGTTGTGTTGTTATGTGCTGTCGAATAACTTGCGAATCATAGTGACCCTATGTACAACAGCTCTAAACGCTGCTCTGTTCTGAGCCAAACTTAACTGTCTTTGACACACCTACCTCCATAATCCCAGTCACTGGGTGGAAATCATTGAGGGTCTTCCTTCCTTTTTTTTTTTTTTAAAGTTAATTTTAATGGAAGTTTATAGAGACTTTGGATTTCCATTCATTCATTGTTGCACTTTTCTCCCTGCCACCCCTCCACGCTAATTAGCTCTTCTCTTTGAAAAGTAAAGTAAAAGAAAAAGTCTTTCATTGTTATACAATCCCTCCCCGCAAGTCCACTCCACTGCGCAGCCTTGATTCCAGACTCCTGTCATAATAATACCTAACCATATAACCCTTTTAAACAGTTCTTTCCCCCATCTGTTTCAATGTAGTATGTTGTTGTTGTTGTTATGTGCCATCGAGTCGCTTGTGACTCATAGCGACCCTCTGTACAACAGCCCTAAACTCTGCTCTGTCCTGTGCCAATCGCACTGTCTCTGACACTCCCATCCCCATTACCCCAGTCATCGAATCAATCCACCTCATAGAGGGCCTTCCCCTCCTGTGCTGTCCCTCCACCCTCCCAAGCATAATGTCCCTCTCCAAGGACCGGTCCCTCCTTACAACATGTCCAAAGTATGTTAGACGGAGCCTCAGAATCCTTGCCTCCAAGGAGCCACCTGGTTTAACCCTCTCCAGAATGAACCTGTTTGCTTTCCTAGCAGTCCATGGTACCCTCAATACTCTTCTCCAGCACCACAGCTCAAAGGCATCAATTCTCCTTCTATCCTCCTTGTCCAACTCTCTGATGCATAATAAGTGATAGCAAAGACCATGGCCTGTATCAGACACACCTTAGTCTCCAGAGAGACACCATTGTAGTATACATTATTTATTCCCTTTCTCAGTCTCCCCCAACCCCTTTTTCAGTCCTCTTTTATAACAGTGGCATTGTGTAGTATTTGTCTTTTTTTTGTGACTGAGATATTTCACTCAGCATAATGTCCTCCAGGGTCACCCATTTTGTATAATATTTCATGAGTTCCTTGTTTTTTCAAAGAAGCACAGTATTCCATTGTGTGAATATACCAGAGCTTCTCTATCCATTCGTTTGTGGATGGGCACTTGGGTTGTTGCCAACTCTTTCCTATTGTGAACAAAGCCGCGATAAACATGGGTGTGCATATATCTGCTTGGGTGGCTGTTATGGTTTCTTTAGGGTATATTTCTAGTAGTGGAATTGCTGGGTCAAATGGTATTTCTATTTGCAACTTTTTGAGAAAACACCACACAGCCTTCCATAGTGGTTGCACTATTTTACATTCCCACCAACAGTGAATCAGGGTTCCAGTGTCTCCGCAACCTCGCCAGCATTTGATGTTTGCTGTTCTGTTAAATTTTGCTATTCTTACTGGGGTGAGCTGATATCTCATAGTTGTTTTGATTTGCATCTCTCCTAGAGCTAGGGATTTTGAACATTTCTTCATGTGTTTGTGTGCCATCTGAATGTCTTTGGTGATGTGCCTGTTCATATCCTGTGCCCATTTTTCAATTGGATTTTTTACATTTATCTTGTGGTGCTCGAGTATTTTATAAAAAAGATATAAGTCCCTTAGCTCTGGTGGCCTAGTGGAGCTCTGGTGGTCTACTGGCAAGGAGCTGCAACTACAATCCCAGAGGCGCATGGTTCGAATCCACCAGATGCTCTGCCGGGGAAGGAGGGACAATCTCCTCCTGTACCAGTCGGATCTGATTTGACGGTACACTCACACAAAAATAATAATAATAAAAAAAGATATAAGTCCCTTATCTGACATGTCATTACCAAATATTTTTTCCCCAATCTGTGGCTTCCCTTTTTACCATGTTGGAGAAGTTTTTGGATGTGCAGAAGGCCTTCTTTTCTTTTGCTGTCCCTCCACCCCTCTCCCTTAAGCATGATGTCCCTCTCCAAGGACTGATCCCTCCTTGCAACGTGCCAAAAATATGTCAGATGGAGTTTCAGAATCCTTGCCTCGAAGGAGCAGTCTGGTTTCACCCTCTCTAGGTTGAACCTGTTCTCCTAGCAGTCCATTGTATATTCAGTACTCTTCTCGTGCACCATAGTTCAAAGGCATCAATTCTCCTTCTAGCATTCCTAGTCTGGCTTTCTGATGCATAGCGAGTAATTACGAAGACTATGGCCTGGATCAGGCCCACCTTTGTCTCCAGACTGTAATCATTGCTCTTCAGTTTTCTTGAGATGTCCCTGACAGCAGCTTTCCCAATACAATTTGTCTTTTGATTTCCTGACTTCTGGTACCAAGAGTGTTGATTGTGGAGCCAAGCAAACTGTTAGCAATTTTAATCTCTTCACCATCTATCTTGATCTGCCAATTGGCCCAGTGGAGAGAATCTTTATTTCTTGATGTTGAGCTTCAATCCATATTTAAGACTGCAATCCTTGACCTTCTGCAGCAGGCCCTCCTTAGTTTCGACAAGCAAGCTTGTTGAGAGTCTTCCTCCAATCCTGATACCACATTCCTTTTCATAAAGCCCAGCCTCCTGAATAGTCTGTTCAGCATACAGATTGAAAAAGTATGGAGATAGAATGCATCCTTGGCATACACCCTTCCCAATTTTGAACAATGCAGTGTTTCCTTGCTCTGTTCTGACAATTGCATAAGTATAATCAAGTGTTCTGGGGTTCCCATTCTTCTCAGAGTTAGCCACAGGTGGTTATGATGCACACAGTCAAATGTCTTTAAAGCATTGTCAGTGAAACATAGACATTCCTATGATACTCTCTACTTTCAGCCAAGATCCATCTAACATTAGTTATAATATCCTTAATATCGTAGCCTCTTCTAAACCCAGATTACACATCTTGCAGAAGGGGATGCTGGTGGAGTGGGGAAAGGGATGGGTCCAGACACACTTGTCAAGGGCAGGGAGCAACACTAAATCTATTGGTCACTTCTGTAATTGGGAAATGTTTTTCATTTGCTCCTTTCTGTAAAATGCTTGTCTGTCAAATACTGTTCTAGATATAAGCATTCAAATTAAGACAGACTAGGAAGAAGGATTTGCTCTCCACTTCCTAAGTAACAGGCCTTTGAAAACCTGTGTTAACTACCTTAGACTTAGCGTAAAGGGAAAATGGAAAATACTTATAGTTGTTGATATGGCTCTCATAGCAGAGGTTTGGTAAAACACTGTCACTTGCTTACTTTTATGCGGCTGTTAGTGAGTGTGTAATGTCTAGGCAAGCACTTCCCACTCTGTAGGCGACTGCTGCCCGCACCCGTACAGCTCTGTTCACAAAGTGTGCATGGTCAGAGGCACGGCCTCTCAGTCTCTCCTTGAGCTGGCCATCCAGGGCTGCTGTGGTGCTGCTGGCCTCCAGAGACCCACTTCTGGAGTCAGGGAGCAAACAGATACCTGGCTGTGTAGCCTGGGCTCCTGAGAGAAACCCAGCACTGTGTGCCTAATGGTCCAGTGGTCCTAGGGCTTTGGCTCCATGGTAATTCAGACATTGTCACTGGGTGGAGCACAGGGTGGTGGGGGCCAGGGCAAGGGGTATCACTGTGTTCTCACTCCCAGGAGGAATCTCTGCCATCAGCTCTGACCCAGGCCTCCACCTTCAGGGCCAAAGTTGGGCCAGAAACTGCCCAGACCATGGGCTCCCCACTAACCTCGTGGTTCTGCTTACAGATGAGCCTGGAGAATGAGGACAAGAGAGGTCGCACACGGTCCAAGGCCAGCCGAGGTGAGTGCCCAAGCCTGGCTACGGCCTCACTGAGGTGTGCCCCACTCCTCCCACTCCCCAATAGCGTGTGCTGGGACAAACCGTATTAGGAGTCTGTCTCAGCTAGGTTTCCCTAGTTGGCACCTGAAACCCTTCACCTGCTGTGGCTACATTGAGGTTGGGTGGGACTGAGTGCCTGGCTGTAGGGCTTTTGTACAGGAATAACTTGTGCAGATCTATGGCCTTTCTCCTTTTAGACAAAGCCTTGGTGTTGGTGGGGCCTGGGGGTTGGGTGCATGAATACAACTCCCAGCTCTGGAGGGTGAATGCAGCCACACGGGCGTGTGCCCTGCTGAGGGAACATGCTGCTCCTCCTATGATGGGACACGGTGGCCAAGTTTCCTGTGCCTGGGCTGCTGGGAGCTGTGCCTTTCGTATCCTGTCTCCCACTTACATTTCTCCCCATTTCTCCCCAGCACCCCTGGAAAGCACAGGTGCAGACCTCAGGTAAGGAAGGCTACAGCTGCACCCCATGTGAGCAGACTGGCTTCAGGACTGAGTTCACTTTGGGTGTCCAGGACCAGGGATCCTCTTCCCTTAGGGGCACATGTCTGGCCACTTTGAACTGCCTTTGTCTTTCTTTTCTGCCTGGTTTACTCAATCCCCAGTACATGACAAGGGCAGTTTTGCTCAGGAGATTAGCACCAGGGCCTTATCTGACCTCAGACCATAGTAAGGGGTCCATTACTGGGGATACAGATGCTTCTGTGCCAAGGGTCTGGGACGGCAAACATAAAAACAAGTCTCTAGTCAATGCCAAGAGCAGTGCCTGAACTGTGGGCTCTGGGCCCCAGGAGACTGAGTTTGTGTCATAAGTGGAGCCTCGTGCCTGAATGTGCAAGTGAAACTGGGAAGTGTGATAGCCAGGGCTCTGGGGCCAACCTGGGGGCAGGAGAGTGCATCCTGGAAGCCACAGAACTCTGCCGCACTGCCTGTCTATCCATTTGTGACTGGCAAAAGCCTGAAGAAACCGTGAGGGGAGGGCTGCTGGTGTGCCGAACTTGGAGCCTTAGGTGGTCCTGTGGGTAGGTCTTATCTTTCCCACGTAACCTGCTCAAACCAGCTATGAGCACAAAACCTGATTCCCACCCCTCCTGGGTGGTTTGCTTTGGCTGACAATCTGAGGGGAAGAGGTCTGGTGCTGACACAGACCTCTCTGACGGGCTAGACTTAGACACCAGGTACCTACTCAAGGCCAGAGGGGATAGAGGCCTGCCCTATCATAGCAGTGATGGGTATTGGTAGGACTTACAGACTCTTCACTGTGTGAAATTCACAAAACCCAGGACCTACCATTTTAGTAATTGGTCCCAAAGCTGTTTTCCAGGTCAAGCTCAGTCCGTCCTTCTCCCAGTATGTCTTTTCCCCAGTGTCAGGTGGTATCTTGCATCAGCTTCAAGGGTATTTATACCTCAGAAATGTCCAGGATGCTGCATAGTACACCTCAATATAGCAGATAAGGGTGGGTGGAAACAGATAAGTTGATGACTCTGACTGAGTAGAGATGACACTCTGATATCACATGCAGGACTCACACTTGAGGGGTTCCACTTGAGACTCACATTTGAGGTTCACACTTGAGACTCACACTCAAGACTAACTTGAAGCTCACACTCGGGGCTGACACTGGAGACTCACACTCAATACTCACAGAAGGTGCTGTCTTAGGACTCACATTCAGGGTTTACACTCTAGACTCATACTTGGGATTTACACTCAGAGTTTACAATCAGTATTTACTCTCAGGACTCATACTTGGGGCTCACATTTGGGACTCACACTTGGTATTCACTCATGGCTCAAATATAGTTATCGTGCTCGGGGTTCATACGTGGTATTTATACTCAGGACTCATATTCAAGACTCCCACTTGAGACTTAGACTCTGAACTGAAAATAGGGACTCACATTTGGGACTCACACTTGGGGTTCACTCTCATACTTCACACTTAGGACTCAAATGAGGGACCCACATGATAGATTCACACTTAGGACTCACACTCAGGCTTTACACTCAGGTCTCATGCTGAGAGTTCACACCTGGGATTCACACTAAGAGGTCACAACCTGGGGCTCATACCATGGGGCTCACATTCAGGACTCACACTCAGGACTCAAACTTGGGACCCACATGATAAATTCACACTTGGGTAAATTCATGACTGGGTCTCACATTGAGACTCACACTATGGAATTCACATTCAGGATGAATACACTCAGATGAGCTTACACTCAGGACTCACTCTACATTCACACTTGGGACTCACACTCAAGGCCCACATGGTGGGCTCACATTTGGGGTTCATGAATAAGGCTCATATTGTGGGACTCACAGTTGGACTTGTACTGTAGGATTTACACTCTACGATCACACCTGAGACTTATATTGAGTGCTCATTCCGTGGGGCGCATGCTCAGAGTTCACAACTGGGGCTCACTCTAATGTGCTTACACTTGATGCCTCCCACTGAAGATTCCTCTAGATTGGAGAGGACCATGGTAGGAATGTGACTGCCGAGGATGTCCCACTGTTACTTTGGGAGGAGAGTTATGGATGCATATGTGATGTAGTGAGATGCCAAGAGGAGAGAGACAGCCCCATCATTCCCGTTATCCCCATCACCCCTTTGCACAAAGGGAAGTACCCATCACTTCCATCTGGACACACGTGGTTCATAGAGGGGGTGGAATCATGTGGATGCCCTTTCTGCCTTCCTGAGACTATAACTGAAATTGGCTTTCCTCATCTTGATTCTGGTCACAGATAGGCATTTCTAGAAGTTCTTCAGAGGTGTTCTCTTTGCCACTCTTATGAATATAAATCCTTCCCATACCATACATAGCACATGCCAGAGGGTTGCTGTGAACTACCCAGTCTCGAGTCCCTGCTCACCCCTGTGAGGAGTGAGGAGGCGACCTGGGATGTGGACCACATGCAGTCTCACTGTCTTCCCCTCACTTGTGTGTCTGGTGAGCAGGAAGGGAGGCTCCTAGCTTGCTGTGTGGGAGAGCCCAGCAATTGGAGGGTAGGGGCATGGCTGTGTGATGACGTGTCCAGGCAGTACCAGTGCGCCATAGAGCCACTAGCCCAGCTGTCACCTAATTGCCTGATTAACTCAGTGATTAACTGGCTAATTGAGACCTCGGCTTCAAATTCCAACAACAAGGAGCTTTTTGTGGAAAGTCTCAAAGCTGGTTTTTGAGAGAGTGAAAGCAAAGACAACAGTGTAGGGCGGAGATGTTAGGACTGGACCTGTGTGGTTGGTGGGGGGGGGTGCCTCTGGTAATAAGCAGGAGCCCCTAGACTTTTCTTATTTATTCCTCCTTTCTTTTTCCTTTTAGTAAAAATATACACAATCAAATACTCTTCTGTCACTATTTCTGTGTTAATCATGGAGAGACATTGAAGGCATACTCCATGGTGCACCAGTAGCCAGCATCCTAATTTTTTTTTAATTCTTTAAAATTTTTTTGTAGCACACTT